CAAATAATACAACTTGTATAACTCTTCTTTTATTTATCATTGATAGAAACCTTAAGTTATTTAAATTATTTTGCATAAATTCCGGCCTTTCGATGAAGATAATTGTTTCGTGGCTTGTATATAATCCATGTCTTGTAATTGTGAGCACAAATATCTCACCAACACTTTTGTGAGGGGAAAATAGTAAATCCTCCTTTTTCAAGTGGATTATTCGTTGGGCTAAGCCCAATCCAATGTCATTATTTAGCATTATTCTTAACTTACTGTAAAGCACTCAGCAACCAACTACAAAAGTTTCTTTTTATAAATGCCAAAATTGCTTGGCCAAATGTCCTAACTTTGAATGTATTAACGTTGGCCTTGTATGAATACAAAGTTTAGCAATGAAAGGTTCAGGGCTAGTCATTTAATAAGTAGAAGCTAGGACGAGTCTTCAGAAGGAATGCACATATATCTCAGTTTATTTATTCTCAGCGAGAGAAAAGAGGTTGTCTCGTCCGAGACATTCGATAAAATTGGAACGATGTAGAGAATGTCTTCCGGAAATTCCACAAGGCGTCAATGCGCAGAGTTTTGATGTGAGTACTGCTGTTGATTTTTCTGTTCACCGATCAAATAGCATGTGAATTGATTGATTTGTCTCCAAAATTGTGGCTTTTGTTAGGTATTTTCGCTACTAGCATTTAAAGTTTGGGGTTAATACCACGAAAAACCCTAAACTGGTACACTTGTGACACATTTACTCCAAACTATTTTTTTGACCATAAAAAACCCCAAACTGGTACACCTGTGACAATTTTATCCTGAACTATTTTTTTTACCACCAAAAACCCCAAACTGGTATACCTGTGACAATTTTACCCCGAACTATTTTTTTGACCACCAAAAAGCTCAAACTGGTACACCTGTGACAATTTTACCCCAAACATACCACAAAAAACCCTAAACTGGTACACATGTGACAATTTTACCCCGAACTAATTTTTAATATTATTTTTTTGAATTTTTTCTTTTTTCTTTTTTCTTTTCTTTTCTTTTTTTTCCTTCACCTTCAACCTACGGCCGGTCGGTCCGGCGACCGCCGAGGCGGAGGCTGCGAGGCCGCCCTCGCCGAGCGTCGGGCGAGGGCCGCCCTCCCGGATCCGGCGAGGGCCGCCCTCGCCGGTGTCAGTGGCCCTCGCCTATGTCGGTCGAGGTCGGCCCTCGCTAGATCCGGCGAGGGCGGCCTCGCTGCGTCGGGGGAGGGCCGCCCTCGCTGAGTCGGGCGGGTCGCCCTTGCCCTGGGCGGGCGAGGGCGGCCCTCGCCCGACGCCGGCGAGGGCGGCCCTCGCCGGCTTTCGCCTCTGGCCGGTCGCCGGACCGGCGACCGGCCAGGGTTTGAAGATGAAAAAAAAAAGAAAAGAAAAGAATAAAAAATAAATAAAAATTCGAAAAAAATAAAAAATAATATTAAAATTTTAATTCAGGGTAAAATTGTCACATATGTACCAGTTTGGGGTTTTTTGTGGTAAGTTCAGGGTAAAATTGTCACGGGTGTACCAGTTTGGGGTTTTTGATGGTCAAAAAAATAGTTCAGGGTAAAATTATCACAGGTGTACCAGTTTGGGATTTTTTATGATAAAAAAAATAGTTTGGGATAAATGTGTCATAAGTGTACCAGTTTAGGGTTTTTCGTGGTATTAACCCTAAAGTTTGTGTCAATTCAATGGAAGGAGTTTCTAGAAATTCTCCTGTTTTAGAGGGACTGTTCCAAATAGTTTGTGGATTGATCAATCGGTGACGGTTTCAAGCGATTGCCGTGAGATGTCGGCCTTGTCGGAATTCGCAAGGCTTAGAGGGCATTTCAATGTCGTACTTATGATTAATTTACTCATGCATTCACGGTTGAAGTTGTAATCTCAATTTACAAATTTCGCGTTCCACTATGTAAAGCCAGTTCTTTTCTATACACCAAAGTGGGAAAATTAGAAAAAAACAGTTCTAAATCTATTGTAATTGTGCCAATTCAGTCTTAAACCATTTGCATTTGTGCCAATTCAGTCCATCTGATCAATTTTGGCCGGCTGATGCTGATGTGGACACCGGTCGGTGCCGGCCGTCCGGCCAACGCTGGGCCTAATACCCAAAAAAACCTCAAACTTTAGCTTTTGTCCTATTTCTACCTTTTGTCTTATAAAAAATCTCCAACTTTAGGTCATGTCCCAATTCTACCCCAAACTTTTTTTTGTCTCATAAAAAACCCTCAACTTTAGGTCCAATCCCAATTCTACCCTAAACTTTTTTTTTGTCTCATAAAAGGCCCTCAACTTTAGGTTCAGTGCCAATTTTACCCTAAACTTTTTTTATCTCATAAAAAATTCCAACTTTAGGTCAAGTTTCAATTTCAGTCTAATTTTTTTGTTTCATGAAGATCTCCATTAACCCTTCGTCAAAATCGCCCTCAGGATTTTGCGCTTATCGATCTCTCATGCTTGGGAATGTTCCATCTCTCGCGGTCGGAGAGTGCTTGGGACACTCAAACAGCTCTTGCTTGAGAGATTTCTATCTCTTGGTTGTCAACGAGAAATTTTGGACGGAGGGTTAATGGAGTCAAATTTGTGACTCAAGTAAAATTTTATGGTTTTTTATGAGACTGTAAAAATTTTACAGTAAAATTGAGACTGGATGGTAAAATTGGGACATGACCAAAAGTTTGAGGCTTTTCATGGGGCAAAAAAAAGCTTAGGGTAAAATTGGGACAAGACCTAAAGTTAAGGGTGTTTTATGGGATAAAAAAAAGTTTAGGGTAGAATTGGGACATGGCCTAAAGTTAGAGGTTTTTTATGAGACAAAAGGTAGAAATTGGACAAAAGCTAAACTTTAAGGTTTTTTTGGGTATTAGGCCCCAACGCTGATGTGACAATTTTTAATATTATTTTTATATTTTCAAATTTTTTTATTTTTTTTCCTTTCCTTTTCTTTTTCCCTTTCTTTTTTTTTTCCCCTTCATCTTCATCTTCAACCTCTAGCCGGTTGCCGGTCTGGCCAAAATTGGCCAGATGGATTGAATTAACACAAATGTTTAAGACTAAATTGGCACAAATGCAAAAGGTTTATAACTGAATTGACACAAAAAAAGTTTAAGACTAAATTGGCACAATTGCAATAGGTTTAGGACTGTTTTAGTAATTTTCCCGAACTAGGAACCAACCTAGTCGGACAGTCAGTTCCGGCTGAGGCTAGTCGTGAAGAAAATCGATTCGATTTCCGATTTCAAAAATTTCGAACCGGTCAAAACCGGTTCGGTTCGTGACTTTGGCATTATAAAAAAAGTTCTACTCAGGAAAGGCCCACTCAGTCGAGTCGCCTTCAAAGGTTGAACCACTTGGTTACAGCTTGAAATCATTGATTCCGGGATAGAATCAGTCCTAGAAATTTTCTAAAAACTCTTTATTTAATAATAATAATACTTTGATTCGAATAATTTGAAATCACTTGACAATAATGAGAAATTAGAAGTTTCATCATTTAACTCCGGTTTTATTAGTTTTACGCCATGATTTAATCCATCAAAACTATATAAATCAAATTTTTTTTAAAAAAGACATCGGTTCCTATGTACAACTAAAAATCTGCTTTGGACCGGCCGATCCGGCCGCCTCTTGATTCCGCATTCCTAAAACCGGGTAGGACCGAGGAGGTCTTGGTTACACTCTTGGAAATTGGACTACCGAACCGTGCCCACCTCTAATCATCCCGTCTTTTTCTCATGCATGAATATCAATTGAACAAGGGAAAATGGTACGTATTGTCCCCGAATCGTAGCCCAATGTACAATGTCGTTCATGAACTTTTAATTTGTTCAATGTGGTCCTTAGTTTCTGAACTTGAATTAACGGAAGGACAACATTAGATATATTTCTATAGTTCGGGGACTGGATTAAATATTTACAAAAAAAGTCAGGGGCCACATTGTACAGATTAAAAAGTTCAGGAACGACGTTGTACAGCGGGCCAAGAGTTCAGGGACCGCATCGAAACAAATTAAAAGTTCAGGGACGGCATTGCGCGTCGGGCCAAAATTCAGAGACTATCTACGCATTAATCCCACCTAACAAGTATCAAAGAGAGAGAGAGAGAAAGAGAAGATAAAATTGGGAAAAAGAAAACAGAAAAGAGGAAACAAAAGTCAGCGCGACAACGTGGAGATGGAAAGTCAACTGGACAAAGAAGCCACACGACACGACGCCGTCGTCCCCGTTGCATGGTTTTTAGATAATGGCGCCCACGCCCAGCAGCCACTCCCCAAGAAGAAGGAGAGCTCCTTCCGAATTTAAGCTCCGAAGCTCGAAACTCATGCCGAGCCACACGCATCGCCCCCCCCCCCCCCCCTTCTCTCTCTCTCATATTCCATTCCTGTCCAAACGGTCACTTTCTCTCTCTATCTGACCTTCGCGTTCCATCGTTCTCTCTAGCCTTCCATCGGTTTCCTTCTCCACTGTCCACGGATTCGCCGGAATCCGCCAAAACGAGAAGTGTCGCCATCGCCCCCCGTTTCTGCGAAACCCCGATCATTCCGTCACAGCTTCGCGACGGCTTAAGGGTGGCGCGCGGAGTTTTTGATGTGAGTTTGGTTGTTTTTTCCGCATTCATCGCTCGAATGTCATGTGAATTGGTTGGTTTTCCCGAGAGCTGCGGGCTCTTGTTTGGTACGTTGTAGAAATTCCCTGTTTTAGACGAATTGATTCGAATAGGTTGTGGGATTGATCGATGATGGCGGTTTTTTCGAGCGATTGAGGTAAGATGTCTGCCTAAGGCTCGGAGGGCATTTCAATGCCCTACTTTTGAATAATTTACGCATGCATTGATGATTGGAGTTATAATCTGGAAGCTGTTGTACATGCCCGGCTTTTGCTATTTGGCTCTTATGTACACAAGAACAATGCCACTCCACATTTTGAGTTGATTATAATTAAAGGATGCATGTATGTATTTGGTAGGTCTGCGGATGAGTTTTAAGATTTCTGGTTACAGGCCTCGAGCTGCAGTCGCTTTGCATAGCCTGATCACCTGAAACTTGTACAATTGTTAGATATGGAAGCTGGGCCTGCGAGGGATCATGGTGATGCTGATTTAAGGGAACATCCTTCGTCTGTACCAGGTGGAGATGATCACGCATTTCAAATCAAGAGGCTGTATTCGTCGTTGTCATCCTCGTCGTCGTCGCCATCGTCCGGAGACTCCTATGAATTAGAGGTGAAAGAGACCAGCACTTCTGATGCATTTTCACATGTCCACCTTACCCACGACGCCGACGACGACCGTGAATCGGTTCCGAGACGCGGAGAAGGAGACGTGCCGGTCGGCTCGATGCCCAAGATCGAATCGTCTGAAAATGGTCCGTCGGACCGTGTGCAGGCCTTGAGGTGGAACGATGGGTCGGCAAAGCAGCTTCCTCCGGTTCAGGTGATGGAACGAACGGGCGACGTCGTGGGGAGTCCTTCTCCGTACAGGATCCCTTCTTCCGTGTTCGGCAGAACCAAATCGACAGCCCCGATGGAATGGAGCGTCGCTTCGAACGAATCGTTGTTCAGTATCCAGATGGGAAATACGAGTTTTACTAGAGACCAAATATACTGGGTTGGTAAATCTCAGGAGCTCGGTATGCCCGGCGCACCAACCATTCCTCCGGTGACGATGGATTATGCCAGCCCAACTCCAGTCAATAAATCGCCGAATATCGGCTTCAGAATCGCGAATACGGGCCAGCATCAATGTGCACCTTCACCAGCTGCTCAACCACAAAAGGATTCAAAGGAAAGCGTGGATCACAGTAAAGAAAATTTTCCTTGGCCGGAGGTAGCTTCCTTCCATTCTACCAGTCCGTCGCACCATTCCGATGCGAGCGGAGCCAGCATTAAATCCTTCGCCTTTCCAATGTAAGCTATGTCACTTCTGCTCAATCTTTGCTGTGGAATTATGCGTCGATTCTGCTTGCGCCCCGATGATTTACGCGCCCTAGAAGCCTATCTGATAGAGGCAGGGAATGAGATAGGATGAGCTAATATCAATGAGAGAAGTAGCTTCCATCATAGAGCGAAGCATGAAGGTCTTAGCCAAGAACTTTAGATCTAGACTAAATGCCACAAAGCACGTAACTTTAAGCATTCTATTGGCATGTTTAGCGAAACTCGAAGATAACTCGGTGTTTTGGCTGCATGAAGATTGTCCAGAGATGCGGCCAGGAGCGGCTCGCTGAGGGTCGGTCCGAACGGCATGAAGCCACTGTCGTCGTTCGCGCAAGCGCGGTCAGAACCGCAGACTCCGAAGCCGCAGCCCCCTAAGGTGGCAGCGTCCGGCATGGGTCAGGCCAGATGGTTCTCTTGCTTCCCCTGTTGCTCGATCTGTTCTTCGGGCTGACGACTCGGGGCGGTCTTTTCGGGCGCCTCTGCTCGGTGCTAGATCGCAGGTACTCCTTCGCGGCCTGCGGGAGTTTTGTTCTTGTCTTTTCAGTTTTGGATCAGTTCAGATTCACCTGTGACTGTGATTTGCACAATATCAGTCCATCGGTAGAATCGGTATGATAGGGCCCTTGTTTCAGATGTTCATAGATCGATTTTCTTTTAGTCGGTTGACGGAATTTTTTGCCGGTACTCAGTAGCAAAAACCGCTGCTTGATCTGCGAGCCGCGGATGCGGCTCGACGTCGAAACGCATCAGTTTTCTCATGCTCCTGTTTTGCAGTATATCAGAATGGATTTGCGGCTATAGTTTCTACATGTCTTGTAATGTCTTTTACCATTGCTGTGAAATGGTACGTCTCCAGCAACCATGGCTCCTGCACTGCTATTAACAGACATATATTTCTCTGCTTCAGAACCGAACCGAACCGTCATAATTCCGTCCCTTTTACTTACTACCCGAATCGAAAGGAAACCCGGCTAGAGAAGACCCGAAACTATTGATTCGGATCGATTCGATTCGAAATTTCGGTTCTTCGGGTTTTCTTTTTACACCCATACTTGGAGATGGATCGACTCCTCGAGACAGTCGTGTATCCAAATCCGATGATTGATCCGGCGGAGGTTGTATATAATCACTCTACCGGTTCGGACCTTGTCGAATTTACGATCCAGTTCCGTATCTCGAATGATCTCCTTTGAACTATGGTTTCGTCGCCTGCACCTAAGTTTTACTTGAGTTTAAGTTTCACATTAACATCATATATTCTCCATTTAGGTTAATGTCTAATAATCCTTTCGTTCCAATGTAAGAGTTATACAAAGAGATTAATCTATTTCATCTATTTTTTTTGGCTAATACCATAAAAAAAAAATAATTTGGTCTATCTGTGTCACGTCTATCCCACATTAATTTTATCGTCGTAAAAAATCTCAAAACGGTAAACCATGTCACATTTATTCCAAATTAATTCCGGTGTTACTAAAAATCCTAAACTGGTATACCAACACCACATTTATCTTAAACTAATTTTTAGGTCATAAAAAATCCCAAATCACCAAAATCTTAGATCGAGAAATCTGCTTAAATCCACTAATTGTGCCTTAAGAGCTCCCTCAAGTTTCCAAAATCTTCTAAAATAAATAATTTTTTGTGACCTAGAAATTAGTTCGGGATAAATGCAGCACGGTTTTTAGTGGTTCGAGATTTTGTGTAACTGGAAAATTCATCCAAGGTGAATGCGATACCTGTGTATCGGTTTGGGGTTTTCCTTGCGCCATGAGCAAATTCTCCTATTCAATCCTAAACCTTTTGTCTTTGTGCCAATTCAGTCATTCCGACTAATTTTGACAGGATATTGTTGACATGAACGCCGGCCGGGCACCGCCGGCAATGACTTGGACAACTTTTTATAATATTTTAACATTTTTCAAAGGGTATGAAGTGCCTTTGTTTTCTCAAATAAGGACCTGAAGTGGACATTGTCTTAAACGAGGGCCTGAAGTGGATAGTCTTAAATAAGGACCTGAAGTGGCTTATTAGCCTCAAATAAGGGCATGATCTTGCTAGCTGAAGGGCATTTTCGTCATTTACCTTTTTTAAATTTTTTTTTTCCTTTTTCCTTTTTCTGTTTTTTTTTCTTTTTTTTTCTTTTTCCTATTTCCTTCGCCGGTTGCTGGTGACCTTTGCAGGATAAGGGCAACCCTCGCCTAAAGCCTGGGCTGGCGAGACCAAGGGTTGCCATCGCTTGCCCAGGTGATGGCGACCTTCTCTTGAGGCCGTCGGCGATAGCCATAGGAGGGAAGAGAGAAAAAAGAAAAAGGAAAATGAAAAAAATAAAGGAAAAGAAAAGAAAAGAAAAGAAAAAGAAAGTAAAAAAATTTTAAATACCCCTTCTCTAACGTCGAAATCGTCACCGGTCGGTCAAAAGTCCTTATTTGAGATAATTTGGCCATTTCAGGGCCTTATTTGAGACAATGAGGGCATTTCATGCTCTTATTTGAAAATTTCCCTTTATTTTTAAATTTTTTTCTCTTTCTTCTTCCTTCAGCCGGTCGCCGGGCCCCGTCGGATCTGGCAAGGTCGGGCCTCCCCCATGGCCGGCGAGCCTCAACCCTTGCTAATGGCTGGGTGGGGCACAACCTCGTTGCCCCTAGCCTCCAGCTAGCCTTAGCCCGGCGACCGTCCGGAGGAAGAAGAAAGGGAAAGAAAAGAAAAGAAAAGAAAAGAAAAGAAAAGAAAAAGAAAGTAAAAAAATTTTAAATACCCCTTCTCTAACGTCGAAATCGTCACCGGTCGGTCAAAAGTCCTTATTTGAGATAATTTGGCCATTTCAGGGCCTTATTTGAGACAATGAGGGCATTTCATGCTCTTATTTGAAAATTTCCCTTTATTTTTAAATTTTTTTCTCTTTCTTCTTCCTTCAGCCGGTCGCCGGGCCCCGTCGGATCTGGCAAGGTCGGGCCTCCCCCATGGCCGGCGAGCCTCAACCCTTGCTAATGGCTGGGTGGGGCACAACCTCGTTGCCCCTAGCCTCCAGCTAGCCTTAGCCCGGCGACCGTCCGGAGGAAGAAGAAAGGGAAAGAAAAGAAAAAAACTAGGAAAAGAAAGAAAAGAATTCTTTTTAAAGAGTAAATAAAAAAATTGCAAAAATATTAAAATATCGTTAAATTTTTTTAAAAAATTAAATAAGAATTCAATCACGTAGGCCGCCCCGGCGCCAACGTCGGCAATATCATACTAAAATTAGCCGGAAGGACTGAATCGACATAAAAATAAAAAAAAAGGTTCAGAATTGAACTGGCACTACGTCAAAATGTTTAAAAATTAAATCGGCACAAACGTAATAAGTTGATACCCAATTATTTTACTCTGGTTGCGACCCGAAGAGAAGGGCCCAAAAAGCCCCGCGCGCCACCCCCAACCCCCCCCACCAATAGTCAAAGGACAAACGAGGGGTCAAAGAAGTAAATTCCGCCGAGCCAGGCGGGGGTCGTGTTTTGGCGCCAAGGCCAAAGCCTCGCGCGGGGTCGTTTCAAGGAAGGCGCTGCCCCGCGAAATACCTCAAAAGAGGAAAAAAATGGTGAAAAAAATTGGCGCCCGAAGGAGAAATCGAAAACGGCCCCCCCCCCCCCCAAAAAAAGAGTTGGCGCTCAACCCAGCAGCAGCACGGGCATTACAAGTAGAGACACGCACAAGTCCACCGCTCCCTCATTCTCAAAGCAGCTCGCGGACGCGCAGGAGAGAGAGAGAGAGATTAGAGAGAGAGAGATTAGAGAGAGAGAGAGAGAGAGAGATGGTGAAGACGGTGACGCCCGGCGCGGTTTCCGCCATGCGGTCGGCCCCGTCGCCGGACTCCCCCGCCGACGTGCCCGAGCTCGTCGTCCAGGTCCTCGACCTCAAGTCCACCGGCACCCGCAACCGTTTCATGTCGGTCCCCTCTTTCCCTCTCTCCCTCTCCCTCTCTCCCTCCCTCTCTCTTTCTCTCTATCACCTGGTCGGGGCTAGCGTTCTGTGGAGGGTCCTTTTGCGGTTTAGATTTAGATTTAGGTTTGGATCTCCTGTGGCTGGCGTCGGTTTTGTTTGGAGCGTTTGATTCCTTTTTTGGCTCGCGTTTCGTTCCGCTGTGCCCGGCGAGCTCAGCGGGAAATGCGATGATCATGGGAAACGGGTCCTCGGGGTTTCGTTTCTTCTTTTACCGGCGGCGGTGGTGGTGTTCGTAAGTAAGATCTGTGCCGTCGTCGTCGGCGAGCTCCTGCTGCGTTGGCGTTGTTGGGTTTTGCCGGGTCTGTCGTATGTGGTCTTTCTTGCCCCAGTAGGGTGGGGTGGGGTTTGAGGTTCTGTGTGTGGGGCTGGGGGTCGTTTGTTTGAGATGTGGATTCGACAGCGCGAGCGGACGGAGCGTCCGTCCGTCGAGGGGGGAAATTAGCGTCCTCCGGTTGGGTTTTTCTGGTTGTTCTTGGGTACTTCTATTGCAATTCGTGCAAAGCTTGAGGATGCGTTCGCTTGTTGTGTCCAGCTCTATCTGCTTGTTCCCCTGGTTGTCTTTTGTATCGTCGCTGCCCGATACTTCTTTTGGATTTTGGTTAGATACATGAAGACATCGGTTGGAATGACAATTGGTCGTGTACCCTTAAGGTTCTCCTCTCTTGTGGCTTTGCGCACAGGTTCACAGCTAATGATGGAAAGATGAAGTTGAAAGGGATTCTGCCTTCGAACGTGGAATCTGAGATTCATTCCGGGAGCATTCAGAATCTGGGTCTGATCCGAATACTTCATTACACCCTCAACGACATTCCGAACAAGTCGGACAAGTGAGTGCGGCTTGCGCAACAGGCATTCGTCTGTTGTTTGGCTTCACGAGCTTAACATCTGACTTATCGACTTTTTTTTTTTTTTTGTCCTTGTGATTCTAATGTTTCAGGTATCTGGTCGTCAACAAGTGTGAAGCAGTTTCTCCGGCACTTGAGATGGAAATCAAGAGTGATGCGGGTGATCTGGACTGTGGCATCCTTTTAAAGTCGAAGCAAGAAGATGAAACTAATTCTGAGGTCACGGTTGAGGAGAGTGGGAATCTCTGGAAGCCAAAGCAAGAAGTTGAAGTCGGAAATCAAGTGAAAACCGGACCTGGAATACATTTAAAGCCAAAGCAAGAGATGGTTGCAAAGTCGGCTGCCCAAATTGTTCACGAACAGCACAGGAAGTGAGTTTTTGTTTTTTTGCCTTCTCATTTGAACTTGTTCATAATATGTGGAAGCTTTTTTGTAATAATTTCCTGCTAGATTCATTGGTGTATTGATCCCTTATTTCTGTCTTCTAGTATGGCCCCTGCTGCACGCCTGGCCATGACTAGAAGGGTTCATCCTCTCGTATCGCTGAATCCTTACCAGGGCAGTTGGACTATAAAAGTCCGGGTGACAAGCAAAGGGAGCATGCGCACTTACAGGAATGCTAGAGGCGAAGGTTGTGTCTTCAATGTGGAGTTGACAGATGAAGATGTAAGTGGGATACTGCTTTTTAATTCTAAACTTCTGGTGATATATTTAAGAAACATATTCAGGTCTTAGGTACATGACCACTCCATGGCAACTGAATGATTTAGTTGGCTCATCGTGCAGGGTACACAAATACAAGCAACAATGTTCAATGAAGCTGCCAGGAAATTCTATGACAAGCTTGAAATAGGGAAGGTGTATTACATATCGAGAGGAACACTAAAGGTCGCTAATAAACAGTTCAAGACAGTGCAAAATGACTACGAGATGACCTTGAATGAAAATTCTGAGGTGGAAGAGGCCAGTAATGAAGCTTCTTTTGTCCCAGAAACAAAATTTAATTTTGTGCCAATCGATATGTTGGGTCCCTATGTCAACGGGAAAGAGCTTGTTGGTAAGAATACAAACATCCACTTCAATGTTCAGTTCAGTGCGGCGCAATTTGATATAGGCCCTAATTCTCTCTTTATTGATTCAGATGTGATTGGAGTGGTTCAAAGTGTTTCTCCTACAATGAGCATCCGAAGGAAAAGCAACAATGAGATTATTCCTAAGCGTGATATTACTATTGCTGACGAGACGTAAGTTTATCTCAGCATTCTGGAGCCTCTCTTGTTTGTTGTCATCTAATGCCTCATACGAGCGTATGGAAATCAGGAAAAAGATCGTTGTGGTTTCTCTGTGGAATGAGCTTGCGACTACTGTAGGTCAGGAATTGCTTGACTCTGCTGATCAATCGCCTATAGTTGCTATAAAGTCCTTGAAAGTTGGGGATTTCCAAGGTAATTGCTACCTTGAAACAAAATTTTGTATGTACTTGGTTCAAGCAGTTCTTGTTTTGTTATGGTACGGTGGATTTTATACATTTGATGAAATTTTTAATATTTGCCAAACGCGAATAAGATAAGTTGGGGTTAATAACATATATCTCGAGAGGGCAATTTATTCAATTAATGTAATAAGGTATCTTCCAAATTATAATTTAATGTTGTGGTGATATTGTATGCTTTTAGTTGTCTCTAATTTAAGAATGGACGAATTACATTACTGTGGTGTCCTCTTTCAGGTGTATCTTTGTCATCACTAGGCAAAAGCGTAGTAAAAGTAAATCCAGAGACACCAGAGGCAAAGAAGCTGAGGTCCTGGTGAGTTTGTGATGGCAAGCAACTATGACCATTCTGTTCTTTCTTCACTTTTGAGTAGTTCTTTAAGTTTTGAACCATTTTGATAGGTTTGACTCTGAAGGGAAAGGCAGCTCAATGGACTCTGTTGGTTCAGGCTTAATTGCCTCATCAAGAAATGGATCAAGGTCCATGTATTCCGACAGAGTGTTCCTTTCTCATTTTACTAGTAATCCTTCCTTGGGTGAAGACAAGGTAAACATGTAGCATTTAGCTGACTCGAAGCTAACCCACCCTGTTTCTCTGGTTTTAACTTGATCGATTTGTTTGGCACAGCCTGCATTCTTCAGCGTCAGAGCCTATGTGAGTTTCATTAAGCCTGATCAAACGATGTGGTATCGTGCATGCAAAACATGTAAAAAGAAAGTGACAGAAGCTATTGGATCTGGCTATTGGTGCGAAGGGTGTCAGAAAAATGATGAAGGATGCAGTTTAAGGTGAGAAACTCCACGGTTATGAAATTCTTTGAACACATAGTGGGTGTGAAAGCAAACTGTATTCTCGTGCAATCAATGCCATTGGATAATTCATTTTTTTGCTTCGATGCTATAGATACATAATGGTAGCGAAGGTTTCAGACCCAAGTGGTGAAGCATGGGTTTCTGCATTCAATGAAGAAGCAGAGCATATCATTGGGTGCCCAGCTGATGAGCTCAATCAACTGAAATCGCAGGTAAGCCAAGAACAAACATTAAAGGTTAAACAAGGTCAACTAACTACTCATATCATATGTGCTAACGTTCATATTAATTCTTGACACCATTTCAGGAGAACGAGGAGAACCCATATCAGCAAAAGCTGAAACAAGCAATTTGGGTTCCTCATCTATTCCGGGTCAGCGTTGCTCAGCACGAGTACATGAGCGAAAAGAGGCAAAGGATCACAGTGAAAGGAGTTGCTCCCGTGGATTTCGCTGCAGAGTCCAGATATTTGCTGGAAGAAATATCGAAACAGAAAGCTTCTTAGTAGGGTTTGGATAGGCCTCGTTGTCTCTAACTTTATGTTGGCTAACCTCTCCTTGTTGAGTGGGGAGGCCATCATTTTGGATCCTCTTCTTTTGCTTGTATATGGCTTTCTGGGTTTAGTTAAAAACAGGTGACTTGCTGCATCTCTAGACTAGCTTTAAAAGTTACGACAATTTTATGTCCATTATCTCGCTGTGCCATTGACATGCAATTTCTTGAAATCTACGATCGAAGTTTGTGATCCTTACATTTCCTGACATGAGATTTTAACGAAAATTTGTCTGTCAAATGACTACATCACCATAGACTGAATTTGAACTAAAACAAAACTATGCGATATACGGGCTCGATCAGCACTGACCCATGAGTCCCCCACAATATAATGGTTCTACCTCAAAGCTCAAGATGCTAGAGCTAAGTGAACATCTGATCTTACTAGTCCCAGGCCAGTGTAATTTCCTATCAGACATCCACTGGAGAAATTATCGGTGTAGTATTATGTTTAACATTAGTTTGCCAGGTCAGGGATTTATGAGCTCTCATATCTTTCTGGACCATAATATGCACTCTTTCACTCTTCTGATACCCTCATCTTCAGTGTCATTTCTTTATAGGGCAAGAGGTAAGGGGAAAGAAAAGAAAGCCCTTACAGAGAAAATGGTCCCAAGAGAAAACGTAATTTGCCTCTCACTTCACTGAAATAATAGAAACCGCTTCGTTGTTTCTCCTGGTTACTGACCAAGAGAAGGCATAGATTGCAACAAAACGATGTACAGCTACTCCGGACACTTGACAGCTTATTAGAACACCCAATAAATCTACAAGAAGAGAAATGTCCATATGATGACCATAAGCCAGAGGAACGAGAGCTTAAGTTTTATTCGTGGCATATGATGACCATATACAGTCGTCCTCGCCGCCGCCACTAATCAACTAGCTAATGTTTTTTTTCCACGTAGAAGCTCAATTTATCTATCTAACAAATAAAAAAGAATAGTGCATCATGTTGATGAATACCTATGATATTATTTCACACCCTCTCATAGGGAGAGACCATCGCAGCAATTTTGTGCAATAGAGAAGTCTCGTTGGAGCCGTCTTTTGAACTGAGAGGAGAGGTCCATTCCTGGTACTTGTGTAGACTCCCCGTGAAATCCGTGAAGAGCCCATCAACTCCCATCTTGTGAATCCAGAACTCATATTCTTGATAAGGATCTTGATTGAAGTTGTAGGGGAGAAAACTGTTCTCGTTCCTATAGGTATACGGGTGCACCTGAATTAAGCATCACCATGATCAGATATTGAGATTACCGGTCGCAATGAGGAAGCAAAGCACTAATTGGATGAACATCATCGCAAGCAATATCTAAGTCGAGTGAATATGAAAGGACAATACGTATTGACCAGAGAATATTTTTGGAATGTTTGATATCTGATGAGAGTCGGAAATAGAAAAACATTCGGTACATCCAGTAAATTGAGAAAATTGAAATACGATATGCATTACTCAACTGGTTGGTTCCCAAAACTTCTTTAGTACATCCAAAAAAACAAAATCACTCAGAAAGGCAGACCAAGGAATACTTCTATCGCAATTCGGCATTCAACTATTAAACATGGTAAATTATTACCTGTAAATTGTGCGCATGTGCTCGGGCAACAAGATCAGTCGGTGTTTGCAGATAATTGCTCACAACAGGAACCACAGTATCTTTCCAGGGTCCAATGCCCACTACATAATTCTTAATAAAATCAAAGTATCCATCCGAAGTAATTTCCCAGTATGACTGCAGATTGTCAAAGGGCCATTCAGAGAATTAGCAAACACAAGCAGAAGTAAAATATGCCACCATCTCACCCCCCTCCCCCCCCAAAAAAAAGAAGCTTCAATAACTAATTATTTGAGCAAAGGCCCCATCAAGAAACTTGATGGTCCACCAGATGAATTATGCATGCAGAGGTCCTTCACTTACATTAAGATGTGTTTGATTCAATTTGATCCAAACGAAAATGATTTCAATCAGAAAAAGTTATTTTAATTTGAAAAACGATAAAAAATGTTACGGTGACTTTAAATGGCGACAGCCGTACTTTTTATGACTGTAGAAGCCATGGCAAACACCCTTCCAAGATTGAAAGCCAAGAAGGGAGCAACCTTACCTGGTTAGTGTCCTGGGTCAGAGCGGTAATTTCATAAATCAAGAAGAATTTGGGCAAGTCTGTCAGATTTGATACATACACAAGCGAAGTAGGAGCAAAAGACTGGATAAACGCAGGTTGCTTCTTCCATTCATTCGACATATATGAACCCTTGTATCCATACTTCTTAAGCGTCTCTACAAACACATCCTCAAATTTCTTCCCATTTGGCCACTTCACCTGTAGCATCAGAGGAAGAGAAACTGTGTCATCTACAACAGCTGAATGATCTCACTAGGTTACTGATGAAAGATAATTGATTCTACCCACCTCAAACATAGAAAATTTTTTAAAGGTACTGAAATTGTTTTCAGTTATTTGCATGCAATTTCGCACGTGCATGTTAAAAACTACTAAGAAAGTGCAATATGTAGGCAATAGCTCAATGTTAAGAGGTACTGCGTCCGCGGTTCCCTGCAACATCAAATTCTCATTCTTTTTTGAACCAAGGAAATGGAAAAGCTAACATCTCATTGATCATCAGCCAAATTTCTATTTTCTACCTCTCAATATTAATGAGGCCAAATCAAAAGTGGTAAAAGGGGAATCAATTGTATTATTACACAATGGGAGATAGAGACTACGATGTCCTATCGTTCAAGTGACTGCTTACAAGAGAAGCCACTCACATGTTCATTGATGAATACAGGGTTCTTAATCTCAGGGTATATACCAACAACTCTGGTTGCATTCAGCGCAATTGAAATGTACTCTTCAAAGGTAATAATATGAAATTTCCCTGAAGAATAGAGCACAAGGAAGGTAGAGTCATTCATTCCACTAGTTCAGAAGGATATGGAAGTAGTCTTACCACTGCTAACAGAACATAAGAATTAGAGAGTTTAACAGATGTGGATAGCATGTTTGCTGTAAAAGGTTTTAAAAAATTCCCGTGTCTAAAACTCAGATCTGATACATGCAACAATTTAAAATTTGAAAAGCAAGGTGTACAAAATCTGCAGTTAGGACAACGTGATCATCTTTTTCTAAGCACGCTAAAGTGATGTCCATCAAAGGGGATTCAGTTGCAAGTATTGGTAGAGGGAAGCAAACTAGGGCCACGAGTACATTCAGCAGCCATCGAAGGATGGCCTTAAAGACTAAACTGTTCATTCAGAAAGCTAAAGCAAAGAACATAGTTTGGTCATCAGATATACAACATGAGATCTAATCAAAATAACGAGTAACCAACCGTTATATTGTTGATCCCGGAATGGGTACCTCTGTCTCACCCTCAATGACTTTAGTTCTTTCAACGTGAAATCAACTGCATGTCAAGACAGAATAATTTAAGCAGAACATAGCAAAAGGCATGAAAAAGGGCGAAACTTCCCGTAAAAACACAATCGAGGAGAATTCATTACCAGTAAAGAAGCCAGTAGTGCTCTTGCGTTCGACTTCATAGGTTCTTTTACGGTCAGCAAATTCCTTATGTTGAGCAACATCAGTTGTATTATCAAGAGTTACATCATGGAAGCATATAAGAACACCATCTTTTGAGGATAAAATATCCGTTTCAATGAAGTCTGTCCCCTCTTCAATTGCTCTCTGCAATCGTCAAGTGACCCAAAGTTAACAGGAATAGTTTTCACCTGATTGCATAATCTAAACTTATATCAGCAATGTGAAACTCGGGTAGATCAACAGGCTAATGTAGAACTCTGTGGAAACCGAATATATGTGAACTCATCATATGGACCAAGCCCTAGACAAAGGTATGCTTTCACTTTAGACAACTTTAAAATGTCTATCAGCATAGATCTAGAAGAATACTAGTCAGATCCAGAGTGAAACTCTTAATGTGTATCATTTGAGACCATAGCCTCATCCTTTTCTCTGCCAAATATTCAGCACATTCATACACAAAAGGTTAAACTCTGCATCATCACCATATAAGCAGCAGCAGTTTCTTCAGGAAGCTCTCCATTTGAACCTCGATGGGCTATATTGTAAGGACGAGAGGTCTGTAGCGGCTGTCTTTCTCCATCTGCCACTTTGCTGGGGAGAGGGTAGAAAGGCCTTGCAGCACTCCCCACAATGAGACATACAAGGGCAAAGAGAATGAGGCCTGCAAATGTTTCCCAGTATCACTGACAGCAAAAAGAGATACGACCCAGAGACAAAATCAACATGACAGATGACAAATGCTCACGTGTGTTGCATTTATTTCTTGATCAAAGTCATGCAATACTCGAGCATATTATCATATAACTAAAATAGTTGATCCGAGTGTTATTTGACTATGGCCGAGTTCCCAATATCTGAGGTTGTAAAATAGGACAGAGAAACCTTAATGAAAAGCAGCACTTGCAGCCAGAAAAATTACTCGAGTCACGAGGGTTGGATTCACAAGAACAAGATTGCCAATTTGCATGAGCATATAATGCGGATTTAAATTCATTCCACTAGCCTTTAAAGTTGTTGTTGCCCTCTTCTCCTCCTCTTTCGAAAACCACGGTGGCCTTGACATTACACTAGCACATTCCTCCAATCAGTGCCCCCCGAGTTCACGAATCATTCGATTCAAGCGTCAACAAATGCATATAATTACTGGTGCCCGATTTCTGAAATCATCACAATCATAATTTTCCCCCTCATATGGGCTTCCATGATTCCAACATAGTTCGCCCAAGTCAATACGAAAAGCGCGCACACACAAAAAAAAAAAAAAAAAGGACAGACACGGGATCGTCATCGCCCGGCAGAGAGAAATTAGCATCCCAAGCGAAATGAAACAGAACCCATCCGTCACATGAATAAACAACAGAAATGATGCCAGTGCTCGTGATTCGCTCAAGACTAAACAAGAACAGAGAGCAACGAAAAGAACGAAAACAAGAGAAACAGCAAGCATCAATCAAGCTTCAAGATTTCAACTTACAGGCACAACCCATGATTCTTGTCTCGACCCTGCTCTCTCCCTCTCTCCCAAAACTCTCTCTTTCCCCCTCTCTCCCTCTCTCTGTCGACTGGTTTCGTTTTCTTGGACTCCTTTCTTGATTGTTATAATTGGCTGTACATTGTGTACAGTCCAAATGTACCGTTGCTTCTCGGTCTGGTCGTCTTATAATAGGTAATATAGGATCGGGTCGGAATTATTGCGCCGCGGATGTAGCTGCGAACTCCCGAAGCATATTCTCTCGGTAGGGCCTCGCCAAAGCATCCATTCTTTTTTCATGGGACAGCTCGGTGTCTGTGTTTCTCAAGGATTGACCGGCCAATCTTGGAACAGTGGCTACCTAGGAGAGGTCGAGGTCAACGGACTGGCAAATGGACTAGGGGTGATCGGTTCCCGGGAGGACCAATTAGTCCTAGGACCGGGAACCGGACTGCACCACCGGTCTGGTCCAATGAAACCTGTCACCTTTTTATTTTTTTCCTACCACAATGAGAAGGTGTGACAAATCTCAACTTATCAAAGGAAATGACAACGAGTGAAGATTTATTGTGGTGCGACGATAAAGAGAAAACGTTGTACATTGAGTTTAGTTTACATTTTACTAATATTTTGAAGAAATAAAACATAAGAAAAGTATATATAGTCGGTCTGGTTTTCCCTTGGAATCGGAAACCGGATTGCCCAGACACTGATTCCACTTTTAGGAACCGGAAACCGGACCGACACTCTCGGTAATCGGACCGAACCGTCTAGTCCGGTCCAGTTTGGGCGGTCCGTTTTGCTCACCCATGGACCATGGGCAATTCTTGTCTCGCATGCTCGCAGCATCAACAGTCTTCTTCGGGTTCACGTTTTTCTTTGGATTTTTGCATATTTTATGCACGTCAAAATTTTCCTTACATCAACTTGAACTATTATGCACTCTCGATTCATTGAATGGGAAGGGGTAATTTTGGGGGTGGTTTGACAATGTATTGCCGACGAGAGTTCGGTCGCTTTCATTTGCAGACTAGTCAGATTCAACGTAGTATCTAGTCAGTGGTGGGTATGGTCCAGAGATTTAAATGATTGCAAATGGACCGCTTATAAATGCAAGAGTTTACTTCTGCAATTTGTTTGTGGCCGTCTCTTTTGGCCTAAGGGTTCGCCATATAGAGTGACAACAACTTTGTAATCGCATGGATCACACATTTACTAGAAGCAAAATGACCAAGGTCCGTTGGTCAGATTGTATTATATCACGTGTTTTTCGACATTGATCTACGCAGAAGAGATGTAATATACCGAGAAGATTGACAAATTCACCGCATGCTGTCTGACATCAATGAAACCCACATGTATAACACGCGTGAGAGTCCTACTTAAGACTCTTTTCACAGCACAAACCACATACTGCTGTTTGGTCGCTTTTGCTTGAAGTTATAAAGGCACTGTTTTCCACTTGAGTAATTGATAGAGATAACATCAGGCACCCAATATTCGAGCATGCCTTACGTTGACGAGTACAGTGGATGGTTTAATAAAACCAGTCTAAGTATTCAGTACAATATTCAGCTTGGCTTCAACCCCACGCTCAAGTAATGGACGACAACCCTGTCCCTGCTCTTAGTCAATTGGTTTGGGTGCAATTTGGAAAGAAAGGCAAAAACGAAAGCATTGGGCAAGAGTACTTATTCCATTCGCCGTCGTGGAAACGCACATTTTCTCTTGCTTATGTGTGATGAAGAAATTAATGCCTACATTTTTTGCAACGGCGTTCTAGTACGAACAACTTCGTGGTGCATGGATCGCTTGAGTACTAGACGCAAAATGACCATAGCCCGTCAATAAGATTTTATTAATCATGTGTCTTTAGACATTAATTTAAGGAAAAAAGATATAATATACCAAAAACATTGACAAATCCACCGCATTTTGTTGTTTCACATTAATGAAAACCATACCAATATGACATAGTTGAGAGTTCTACTTAAGACTCTTTTCACAGCATAAACCAAAGCAACACACAAGCTAGGGTTTTAAGAACACCTAACAAGGAATTTATTACGTACACTTGAAATTGCATATGATAACGACATGCCGATATTAAAATTTAAAGAGTCTTTCCATATATATGGATATAGATTATTAACCCTATCAGAGGGGCGGCGGCAGCGGCGAACTGACAACGATGTGTTTCATGGGGTTGGACCAATTAGTGTGGTTGGCATGCTTGACAAAATCAGTCGGGCTAAGGAAGACGCTGTGGCAGAAGCACACGATGAAGATGCGGCCACCCTTGTCGTACTTATAGAGGAACCCATCTGCCTTCTTGCCCTCTGGCCCATCTCCAGTTGTGGTCACGGTCAACATTTGCTTCATCCCTCTCATTCCATTAGCAATGCTATTTTTTTGATGAGCATTGTTGTTCTGAACAATATTGGGAAGCTCAGGTCTTTTGATTTGCTTGTCGTGAGAGATGTTCTCAATCACAATGGCTGACTTCCCATAGATTGCCTTTGCAGCGTAGGCTTTAGCGTTTGGGTTTGGTTGGTGAGATGTCCATGGCTCCTGAGAGCTAGAAGAGCCTATGCCTGTGGCGAGAGCGCTTGCGCCTAGGCAAAATGTTGTAAAAAACAAAAGAAATTATAAGTTTTCCTAAGATAGCAATTGTATATTTAATCGAGTGCGGTTGATATAGGTGAAGGAGGGATCAAAATGCATGAGTTTTAGTAACAAACAAGAAAAATAAGACAACTATTGATTGCAACTATTAATCCATGAGAAGAGATTAAACGCCTCAAGTTTAGAGATTAAACGCTTCAAGTTTATGAGTAGTTCAATCAATTTGGCTTTGATTATTTTGATATACTAATAATTGAGAATTGTTAGCATATCCAATCCAATCGCTTCAAGTTTGTCGGTCTGTCCTTTATTTCATTTGTCGACATGTGAATTAGGTAACAATGAGTTTAATCTTAGACGTAAATGGATGAGTGTCAAATGCCACAACACGCTCATGGCAGATGCTATGTGACATTGATGGTTCCGCTATATTTGTTCTCACATTGTCGAACCGCTACGATTTATTGTAACTTTACCTAGCACGTAGAATTGTCCAGAGGGGACTTAAGACAGCGTGATTAACCTAACATTCAAATCTTGCAACCTTGAACACCTAAGCATCCATGAATCATTAGGGAAAATCACAAGTACTCATGGCCTAATACCATAAAAAAAAATATAACTTGGTATATCTGTGTCACATCTATTCCAAATTAATTTTATCGTCGTAAAAAATCTCAAAACGGTAAACCATGTCACATTTATTCCAAATTAATTATGGCGTCACTAAAAATTCTAAACTGGTATACCAACACCACATTTTTCTTAAACTAATTTTTAAGTCACAAAAAATCCCAAATCACCAAAATCTTAGATCGAGAAATCTGCTAAAATCTACTAATTGTGCCATAAGAGCTCCCTCAAGTTTCGAAAATCTTCTAAAATAAATAATTTTTTATGACCTGAAAATTAGTTTGGGATAAATGCAGCACGGTTTTTAGTGGTTCGAGATTTTGTGTAATTGGAAAATTCGTCCAAGGTGAATGCGACACTTGTGTATTGGTTTGGGGTTTTCCTTGCGCCGTGAGCAAATTCCCTAACTCAATCCTAAATCTTTTCTTTTTGAGCTAATTCAGTCTTTTCGGCTAATTTTGATAGGATATTGCTGACGTGGATATGGACCGGACATCGTCGGCAATGACTTTGACAACTTTTAATAATATTTTAATATTTTTTGAACATTTTTATTTATTTTTGGAAAAATTCCAAATAAGGACTTGAAGTGTCTTCGTTTTCTCAAATAGGGGCCTGAAGTGGACATTGTCTCAAATAGGGGCATGAAGTGGATATTTTCTCAAATAGGGGCCTGAAGTGCCATTGTTTTCTTAAATAAGGGTGTGAAGTGGATATTGTTTCAAATAAGGGCATGAAATGGCTTATTAGTCTCAAATAAGGGCCTGATCTTGCTGGCTAAAGGGCATTTTCGTCATTTACCTTTTTTTGAATTTTTTTTCCTTTATCCTTTTGTCTGTTTTTTTCTTTTCCCTATTTCCTTGGCCGGTTGTTGGTGACCTTTGCCGATGAGGGCAACCCTCGCAGCCCAGGCGAGGGCGACCTTCGCCCGAAGCTTGGGTTGGCGAGGCCAAGGGTCGCCATCACCCGCCCAGGCGATGGTGACCTTCGCTTGATGCCGTCGGAGGTCATCAGCGATGGCCATAAGAGGGAAGAGAGAAAAAGAAAAAAATGTAAATTTTTTTTAAATATCCCTTCTCCAACGCCGGAAAAGTCATTGGCCGGTCAAAAGTCCTTATTTGAGATGATTTGGTCATTTCAGGCCCTTATTTGAGATAAGATCCATTTCACGCCCTTATTTAAAAAAAAGGAAAATTCCAAATAAGGACATTAAGTGCTATCATTTTCTCAAATAAGGGCATGAATTAAATTTTGTGTCAAATAAGGTCATGAAGTGCCATTATTTTCCCAACTAAGGGCTTGAAGTGGATTTGTGTCAAATAAGAGCATGGAGTGACTGTTTCTATTTCAAATAAGGGCTTAACTTTCTGAATGGTGAGGACATTTACGTTTTTGAACTTTTTTGAATTCTTTTCCTCTTTTTTTGGTTTCTCTTTGTGCTTCCCCGGTGGTCGGCCATCGGCGAAGCCCGGGGAGGGCTGGGCAAGGGTGGCCTTATCGGCAACAAGCGAGGGACGAACTCACCTGGGCGAGGCCGCCCTCGTCGGTAACAGGTGAGGGTCGCCTCGCCAGCTGTCGGCGAGGGATGGCCTCGTCGGATCTCGGTGAAGTGACCCTCACCTTGGGTGAGGCCACCTTTGAAAGCCATAGGCGAGGGCCGGTCTCACCTGGGCGACGAGTGGCAGGCGAGACCCTTGCCCAGGTGAGGCTGGCCCTCGCTGGTGGCTTTCGAGGGCGGCCACACCCAGGGTGAGGGTCACTTCACCCAAATCTGGCGAGGCCCAGACGAAATATCTCAAAAGAGAAAGTGGAAAAAGTTGGCGCCTAAGGAGAAATCGAAAAAGCCCAAAAAAATTTGGCGCTCAACCAGCACATGCATTACAAGTAAGAGCTCCCGCTTCTTCTCTGCTCTCGCTCTCTCATTCTCAAAGCAGTTCACGGACACACAGAAGAGAGAGTGAGATGGCGAAGACGAAGACGAAGATGGTGACGCCCGATGCGATTTCCGCCATGCGGTCGACCCCGTCGCTGGACTCCCCCCCCCACGGACGTCCCCGAGCTCGTCGTCCAGGTCCTCGACCTCAAGTTCACCGGCACCACTACAAAAAAACTGATTTTTTCCGACGAAATTTCCAACGAAAAATTCTGGAAAATTCGTTGGAAAACGAATTTCCAACAAATTTTCCAATGAAAAAAAATTCGTTGGTAATAGGTCGTTGGAAAATTTTCCGACGAAAAATTTCAATTTTCGTTGGAAATTTGCGACGAAAATTTTTTCGTTGGAAATTTCGTTAGAAAACTCGTGGCTAAATTCGTTGGAAACGAATTTTTTTTTCCGACGAATTTTTTTTCGTTGGAAATTACAAATTTTTTTTTGATCGAAAAATCGTGGAAAGTTTTTTTCCATCGAATTTTTTTTTTTGGTCGAAAAATTTCAATTTCAAAATTTTTTTTTTTGGCCGAAAAATGGCCCTCGCCGGCGGCGAGGGCCGAGCTCGTCGCCGGCGAGGGCCGAGCTCACCCAGATCTGGGCGAGCTCGAGCTCGCCGGCCATGGCGAGCTCGGCCCTCGCCATGGCCGGCGAGCGGCGGTTCCAAGCAGCTCACGCGGCCGAGAAAGGAAGAGAGAGATCAGGTCGGTTGGACGGTGGCGGTGAGGCGGGATGGGTGGCGACCTCGCCGGCCATGGCGAGGGCCGAGCTCGCCCGGATCCGGGTGAGCTCGGCCCTCGGCGCGGCGAGCTCGCCCGGATCTGGGCGAGCTCGGCCTCGCCGGCGACGAGGCGTCGGGGCGGCCCATGGTGGCGTCGGGAGCGCCGACCGCCGCGGGGGCCTGGCCCTGGATGGCCGCAGCGACGCCTTCGGGGACGGAGCCGACGTCGCGGATGACCTGGATGCCGATCTTGGTGTCCATGGCACCGGAGCCGAGTCGGAGGAGGAGGGGGGGCGGCGGGGGAGGCAGCGGGGGAGAAGGTGGAAGGCGAAGGAGAGACAGAGAGAGAGAGAGAGAGCACCGGAGCCGAGTCGGAGGAGGAAGGGGGGCGGCAGGGGAGGCAGCGGGGGAGAAGGTGGAAGGCGAAGGAGAGACCGAGAGAGAGAGAGAGAGCACCGGAGCCGAGTCGGAGGAGGAAGGGGGGCGGCGGGGGAGGTAGCGGGGGAGAAGGTGAGAATGAACGTGGAAAATGTAATAAGGAAGAAGTAGGGTTTTCATTGCAAAATTCGTGGGAAATTTCCCACGAATTTTGCAACGAAAATTGTACACACTAAAATAATTGCTCGGAAAATTAAAATTCGTTGGAAAATTGTATACACTGAAATAATTGCCCGGAAAATTGAAATTCGTTGGAAAATTCGTTGGAAATTTCCAACAAATTTTTTTTCGTTGGAAATTTCCAACGAATTTTCCAACGAAAATTGTATACAATGAAATAATTGCCCGAAAATTGAAATTCGTTGGAAAATGTCGAACGGTACCGATTTTTTTTGTAATTCGTTGGAAAATTGTATACAATGAAATAATTGCCCGAAAATTGAAATTCGTTGGAAATTTCCAACAAATTTTCCAACGAATATGAAAAATGCCGAACGGTACACGGTTTTTTGGAGTTCGTTGGAAAATTCGTTGGAAATTTCCAACGAAAAAAAATTCGTTGGAAATTACCAACGAATTTTCCAACGAAAATTGTATACAATGAAATAATTGCCCGAAAATTGAAATTCGTTGGAAAATTCGTTGGAAATTTCCAACGAATTTTCCAACGAAAATTGCACACACGGAAATAATTGCCCGGAAAATTGAAATTCGTTGGAAAATTCGTTGGAAATTTCCAACAAATTTTCCAACGAATATAAAAAATGCCGAACAGTGCCGGGTTTTTTGTAATTCGTTGGAAAATTCGTTGGAAATTTCCAACGGAAAAAAATTCGTTGGAAATTTACAACGAATTTTCCAACGAATTTTGTTTCGTTGGAAATTTCCAACTAATTTTCCAATGAAAATTTTTTCGTTGGAAATTTCCAACGAATTTTGCGACGAAATATAGTTCGTTGGAAATTTCCAACGAATTTTACGACGAAAATTTTTTTGTTGGAAATTTCCGACGAATTTTACTTTTCGTTGGAAAATTTGTCTCAAATTTGCAACGAAAATTTTTTCGTCGCAAATTTTCGTGGTAAAAATCCAGTTTTTTTGTAGTGCACCTGCAACCGTTCATGTCAGTCTTCTTTCCCTCTCTCTCTCTATCACCTGGTCGGCTAGCATTCTGTAGAGGTTCTTTTGCAGTTAGATTTAGATCTCGTTTGGCTGACATTGGTTTTGTTTGAAGCGTTGATTCTTTTTGGCTCGTGTTTCGTTTTGCTGTGCCTGACGAGCTAAGCGGAAATGCGATCATGGGAAACGGGTCACGGCAACCTCGGGTTCTCGGGGTTTTGATTCTTTTTTACCGACGACGCTGTTTGTAAGATCTGTGTCGTCGTCGACGAGCTCCTGCTGCGTTGGCGTCGTTGGGTTTTGCCGGGTCTGTCATATGGTCTTTCTTGCCCCGGGGGGGAGGTGGGGTTGGGTTCTGTATGTGGGGGTCGTTTGTTTGAGATGTGGGTTAGACAGCGCGAGCAAACGGACGAGCGTCCTCCGGTTGGGTTTTTCTGGTTGTTCTTGGGTACTTCTATTGCAATTTGTGCAAAGCTTGAGGATGTGTTTGCTTGTTGTGGGGGGCTCTATATGCTTGTTCCCCTGATTGTCTTTTGTATCGTTGCTTGCCCGATACTTCTTTTGAATTTGGTTAGATATGTTGCGGAAGCTAAGCGATCGAATAATAAAATTGACAAAACAAGAAAATAAATCGGACTCCAGATTTACTTGATTCGGTATGACCTACATCCATAGGAAGAGCAACATGGAATTTCACTATAAATGAAGCGATATAACGGAGATTACAATCACACTAGAGTCATTCAAACACTCTCGGTGTTTCCCAAACCGTAATTACACCCAATAACTCACGCAATGTTGAGCCTTACAAATCCTTACGAAATAATCTATCAATCTCGCAAAGGAATTGTACACAAATCTTACCACAGGATTTAATCATTACAAATACTTGAACTCTTGGTGTAATTTTACGAACAAACCCACGGAAATAATCCACAAGCACTCGACGAAACGGCACTTCAATATTCCTCCCCCTCTGTCGTCCAATAGATCAACCCGCTAATATATATGTTCGTAGTTCCACCGCTTGAAGGATTGCAACAAACCGTCAAAGATAGACACTGTACGTACAGGATAGGAAACAAAATTCCAGTGAGTTTCGGTCAATCCAATTCAAGTTGACCGAATATTGTCCACACACGTTGGACTTTCCAATTTCAGCCCAAGACTCCAACATATTATAGGAAAGTTGATATTATCTTTGCAACTTTAACATGCCCAACTTTGATGCTTGATCAAGATTCTAAATCGTAATCTGCCTTGCTTAATCTCAAACTTTCCTATAATAAAACAAGTTTCTTTATAATTTATCTCGAATCGAGTTTCGTTCACAGGTTTAAACTCGGGACATATTTTAACAATTTACACCTTGGTTCAATGTTTGAGCCAAGTAACAACCGCTTTGATAAAATCCGAATTTCGCTACTACTCTTCCATTAGCCCCGATGGGTTCAATTGCCACAGATATCTTCCAAGCCCAAGCTTCGCTTGAACTTTGTCATAACCGTAGACTTTATCAGAATACCAACTTCACATGCACCTTTAACTGCTCCATAAGAATTTTCCTACACAACTTCCTCAATCGCAGATAAAGTAAAACCATCATTGCATCAATATCTACGAGGAGACCGAATACACACCTTGTCAATATCAACAGTTACAGCAATCGTTGGTTCAATAGGCTCTACCTCCCTACGAGCATCATCTGTATCGATTACTTTGCTAGTACCTGCTACCTCAGGAGTTTCTGGTTGCAACTCCATCTCAAGTTGAATACCGTTCAGATTTGTATAAACACTGCTATAATCACTCCTAGCCAGAAGTACAGGAGACTCGTCAAATATAACTTCTCTGCTAATAACAAGTGAATTTAATTCCGGGCACCATAATCGATAACTCCGCTCACCTTGTGCATAACCTAGGAACATGCACTTTCTTATCCTCCTATCGAGCTTACCATCACTAACTCGAACATAATACGAGCAACCAAATATTCTAATAACATAATAATCAGTAATGTTACCTGGCCACACTCCTTCGGGAGTTCGACATCCAATCGCAGTCGATGGGGATCTATTCTTCAGGTAGTTTGCTGTATTAAGCGCATCCGTCAGGAATCTCCTAGCCATACTAGCACTAGAGAGCATTTTATGGGCTGTCTCTAGTAATGTTCTGCTCATCAACTCCGCAACATATTGTGGTTCATTGGTATTAGTGCGGTGTCTCATTATGCTTTCCTTCATGCAAAGTTCGTTCAATAGCTTCGAGCAAAACTCCATACTATTGTCAGTCCGCACTTGCTTAATCATTTTACCAGTCTCCTTTTCGATCAAAGCCTTTAACCGCATGATCCTGACAAGAGCATCAAACTTATGCCTAAGCACAAACACCCAAGTCTTCCTCGAGTAGTCATCAATAATTGTTAGCATAAATCTGACACTCTTCCTCGAAGGAAACCGCGACAACCTGCGAACATCCAAGTGAATTAATTTTGCAATTTCTGTGGTCTCTCTGACAATCGTACTGAACTGTATTTTCCTCTGTTGATCTAAATCACAGCACCTACATACATTCAGTTCGTTAGCAACATAACCACATAGCAAATTTCTTTCACTTAGATCCTTTAGGCTTCCCTCGCTAATATGCCCCCAACGCATATGCGACAATTTAGACTCTCGAACCGATACATTCGACGTCTCCACAGTGAATTCCGTCACTGTCTCACCTTGAAGTTCATACAGGCTACTATGCTTGATCCCTTTCATTATCACCAAGGCACCTCGAACAACCTTCAAAATTCCATATTCTGAAGAATATTGACACCCAACTGAATCCAGGATACTCAAGGAAATCAAGTTTTTCTTCAACTCTGGAACATGCCTCACTCCAGTCAATGTCCACACAATACCATCACGTATTCTGATTTTAACATCACCAACACCTACAACACAGCACTTCGCGTTGTTCCCCAACTACACTTTACTACTATCCGTGCATTAATAAGTAGTAAACCAGTTCCTATTTGGTGTAGCATGAAAAGAACAACCAAAATCCATAATCCATCCGTCAAACGACGAATCATCAGTGACAGACAAGACATAATCAGCACTATTCGAATTACTGTCTGCTACAGCCGTAACATCATCCACAGACTCAACTCTAATTCCCTTACCCTTGTCGTTCTTGAGCTTAAAGCAATCCCTTCGAAGATGCCTCCTCTTGCCACAGCTCCAACAGACGGCACCACCAGTTCTAAACTGATTTCGTCTATTCGAGTTTATACCACTTTTGCTAACACGTGTACTAGCTCTTCCTCTATTTTCAACTACTAAAGCAGCAGATACATGTTCGCCAGATTCTCTTCTACGGATGTCCTCACCCAGAATTAAATCTCGAACATCATTAAACATCAAACTTGTTGACCCAGAGGAATTACTAACAGCAGTAACTGTAATATTCCAACTATCAAGCAATGAGCATAATAAAATCAAAGCACGTACCTTATCTTCAAAGTCAATCTCAACTGAACTCAATTGACTAACGATCACATTGAATTCATTAATATGATTAGAAACTGACGCACCTTCGCTCATCTTCAAATTAAACAGACGTCGCATCAAGTAGACTTTGTTGATCGTAAAGGGCTTCTCGTACATGTCGGATAGGGCTTTCATCAAACCCACAGTGGTCTTCTCATTCATAATGTTAAACGCGACGTTACGAGCCAACATCAGTCGAATAACACCCAAAGCTCGTCTATCCAGCAATTCCCAATCAGCTTGCTTCATCGTCTCTGACTTCTCCCTAGACAGGGGCAAGTGCAGTTTCATCTAATATAAATGATCCTCAATCTGCATCTTCTAGAAACCAAAGTCCTTCCCATCAAATCTGTCGATTTTCACTTTTCCTTCTTCTGTCACCATCGATTCGCTTTAACTCAGCCAAGCCTAGCTCTGATACCAATTGTTGCGGAAGCCAAGCGATCGAATAATAAAGTTGACAGAACAAGAAAATAAATTGGATACCAGATTTACGTGGTTCGATCGTAGTGACCTACATCCACGGGGAGAGCAGCACGGAATTTTACTATAGATCAAGCGATACAACGGAGATTATAACTACACTCGAGTCACTCAAACACTTTTGGTGTTTCCCAAGCTCCAATTACAGCCAATAACTCACGCAGTGTTTAGCTCCATAATTTCTCACGAAATAATCTCTCAATCTCGCGAAAGAATTATACACAAATCTTACTACAAAATTTAATCGCTACAAACACTTGAAGTTCAAAGGACATCACTTGAGATATTTTTTAACATGATACATAAAGACATCACTTGAAATGACAATTGGTCGTGCCCTAAAGGTTTTTCACTCTTGTGGCTTTGTGCACAGGTTCATAGCTAATGATGGAAAGATGAAGTTAAAAGGGATTCTGCCTTCGAACGTGGAATCTGAGATTCTTTCCGGGAGCATTCAGAATCTGGGTCTTATCCGAATACTTCATTACACCCTCAACGACATTCCGAGCAAGTCGGACAAGTGAGTGCGGCTTACGCAACAGGCATTCGTCTTTTGTTTGGCTTAATGAGCTTAGCATCTGACTTATCGACTTTTTTTTTTACTTGTGATTCTAATGTTTCAGGTATCTGGTCGTCAACAAGTGTGAAGCAGTTTCTCCAGCACTTGAGATGGAAATCAAGAGTGATGCGGGTGATCTGGACTGTGGCATCCTTTTAAAGCCTAAGCAAGAAGATGAAACTAATTCTGAGGTCACGGTTGAGGAGAGTGGGAATCTTTGGAAGCCAAAGCAAGAAGTTGAAGTCGGAAATCAAGGGAAAACCGGACCTGGAAAACTTTTAAAGCCAAAGCAAGAGATGGTTGCAAAGTCGGCTGCCCAAATTGTTCACGAACAGCACAGGAAGCGAGTTTCTGTTTTTTGTCTTCTCATTTTAACTTGCTGATAAAATGTGGAAGCTTTTTGTAATAATTTCCTGCAAGATTTATTGATGGATTGATCCCTTCTTTCTGTCTTCTAGTATGGCCCCTGCTGTACGCCTGGCCATGACTAGAAGGGTTCATCCTCTTGTATCGCTGAATCCTTACCAAGGCAGTTGGACCATAAAAGTCCAGGTGACAAGCAAAGGGAGCATGCGCACTTACAGAATGCTAGAGGCGAAGGTTGTGTCTTCAATGTGGAGTTGACAGATGAAGATGTAAGTGGGATACTGCTTTTTAATTCTAAACTTCTGGTGATATATTTAAGAAACATATTCAGGTCTTAGATACATGACCACTCCATGGCAACCGAATGATTTAGTTGGCTCATCATGCAGGGTCCACAAATACAAGCAACAATGTTCAATGAAGCTGCCAAGAAATTCTATGACAAGCTTGAAATGGGGAAGGTGTATTACATATCGAGAGGAACACTAAAGGTCGCTAATAAACAGTTCAAGACAGTGCAAAATGACTACGAGATGACCTTGAATGAAAATTCTGAGGTGGAAGAGGCCACTAATGAAGCTTCTTTTGTCCCAGAAACAAAATTTAATTTTGTGCCAATCGATATGTTGGGTCCCTATGTCAACGGGAAAGAGCTTGTTGGTAAGAATACAAACATCCACTTCAATGTTCAGTTCAGTGCAGCGCAATTTGATATATGCCCTAATTCTCTCTTTATTGATTCAGATGTGATTGGAGTGGTTCAAAGTGTTTCTCCTACAATGAGCATCCGAAGGAAAAGCAACAATGAGATTATTCCTAAGCGTGATATTACTATTGCTGACGAGACGTAAGTTTATCTCAGCATTCTGGAGCCTCTCTTGTTTGTTGTCATCTAATGCCTAATACGAGCGTATGGAAATCAGGAAAAAGATCGTTGTGGTTTCTCTGTGGAATGAGCTTGCGACTACTGTAGGTCAGGAATTGCTTGACTCTGCTGATCAATCGCCTATAGTTGCTATAAAGTCCTTGAAAGTTGGGGATTTCCAAGGTAATTGCTACCTTGAAACAAAATTTTGTATGTACTTGGTTCAAGCAGTTCTTGTTTTGTTATGGTACGGTGGATTTTATACATTTGATGAAATTTTTAATATTTGCCAAACGCGAATAAAATAAGTTGGGGTTAATAACATATATCTCGAGAGGGCAATTTATTCAATTAATGTAATAAGCTATCTTCCAAATTATAATGTAATGTTGTGGTGATATTGTATGCTTTTAGTTGTCTCTAATTTAAGAATGGACGAATTACATTACTGTGGTGTCCTCTTTCAGGTGTATCTTTGTCATCACTAGGCAAAAGCGTAGTAAAAGTAAATCCAGAGACACCAGAGGCAAAGAAGCTGAGGTCCTGGTGAGTTTGTGATGGCAAGCAACTATGACCATTCTGTTCTTTCTTCACTTTTGAGTAGTTCTTTAAGTTTTGAACCATTTTGATAGGTTTGACTCTGAAGGGAAAGGCAGCTCAATGGACTCTGTTGGTTCAGGCTTAATTGCCTCATCAAGAAATGGATCAAGGTCCATGTATTCCGACAGAGTGTTCCTTTCTCATTTTACTAGTAATCCTTCCTTGGGTGAAGACAAGGTAAACATGTAGCATTTAGCTGACTCGAAGCTAACCCACCCAGTTTCTCTGGTTTTTAACTTGATCGATTTGTTTGGCACAGCCTGCATTCTTCAGCGTAAGAGCCTATGTGAGTTTCATTAAGCCTGATCAAACGATGTGGTATCGTGCATGCAAAACATGTAAAAAGAAAGTGACAGAAGCTATTGGATCTGGCTATTGGTGCGAAGGGTGTCAGAAAAATGATGAAGGATGCAGTTTAAGGTGAGAAACTCCACGGTTATGAAATTCTTTGAACACATAGTGGGTGTGAAAGGAAACTGTATTCTCGTGCAATCAATGCCATTGGATAATTCATTTTTTTGCTTCGATGCTATAGATACATAATGGTAGCGAAGGTTTCAGACCCAAGTGGTGAAGCATGGGTTTCTGCATTCAATGAAGAAGCAGAGCATATCATTGGGTGCCCAGCTGATGAGCTCAATCAACTGAAATCGCAGGTAAGCCAAGAACAAACATTAAAGGTTAAACAAGGTCAACTAACTACTCATATCATATGTGCTAACGTTCATATTAATTCTTGACCACCATTTCAGGAGAACGAGGAGAACCCATATCAGCAAAAGCTGAAACAAGCAATTTGGGTTCCTCATCTTTTCCGGGTCAGCGTTGCTCAGCACGAGTACATGAGCGAAAAGAGGCAAAGGATAACAGTGAAAGGAGTTGCTCCCGTGGATTTCGCTGCAGAGTCTAGTTATTTGCTGGAAGAAATATCGAAACAGAAAGCTTCTTAGTAGGGTTTGGATAGGCTTCGTTGTCTCTAACTTTATGTTGGCTTACCTCTCCTTGTTGAGTGGGGAGGCCATCATTTTGGGTACTCTTCTTTTGCTTGTATGTGGCTTTCTGGGTTCAGTTAAAACAGGTGACTTGCTACATCTCTACACTAGCTTTAAAAGTTACGATATTTTTATGTCCATAATCTCACTGTGCCATTGACATGCAATTTCGCAAAATCTACGATCGAAGTTTGTGATCCTTACATTTCCTGACATAAGATTTTAACGAAGCTTTGTCTGTCAAATTGAACTAAAACAAAACTATGCGATTTACCGGCTCGATCAGCACTGACCCACGAGTCCCCCACAAAATAATTGTTCCACCTCAAAGCTCAAGAGGCTAGAGCTAAGTGAACATCTGATCTTACCAGTCCCAGGCCAGTGTAATTTCCTATCAAACATCCAATGGAGAAGTTATCAGTGGAGTATAATGTTCAACATTAGTTTGCCAGGTCAGGGATTTTTGAGCTCTCGTGTCTTTCTGGACCATAATATGCTCCCTTTCACTCTTTTGATACCCTCATCTTCAGTGTCATTTCCTTATAGGCCGAGAGGTAAGGGGAAAGAAAAGAAAGGCCTTACAGAGAAAATGGTCCCAAGAGAAAACGTAATTTGCCTCACTTCACTGAAATAATAGAAACTGCTTCGTTGTTGCTCTTGGTTACTGACCAAGAGAAGGCATAGATTGCAACAAAACGATGTACAGCTACTCCTTGCTGGGATTTTGGTATTCAAATCCCATAGAAGGTGAATGAAAAGTGTGGTTCAGACAGTTTTGTTTTTCACCGAACAGACATGTTGGTTCAAACAGTCATTGAACAGGCATGTTTTTGTTTTGGATTTTTATTTTATTTATTTATTTATTTTTTGGACAGATATGTTTGTTCGTGACTGTTCGCCTATTTAGTTTCGGACATATATGTCTGTTCGTGAACCGAACAAAACTTTTCGATTCTTCGTGACTCTTCATTGTTTTTAAAAAAAATTCGCGCGGCATTTTTTCTATTTCTCTCTTATTCTTCATCATTGTCATTCGTGTGATTAATCTACAAAGTTTAGTTCAAAAGTTTCCTTTGAAGAAGTACCGCTTCATAGAAAAGGCGATCCGTTCTATCCTGGGAGGCAATTGTTCAAAAATCTTGAGTACCGGTGGAGGGGACAAATTGTCTTAAGGACACAATGTGAATTCGTTGGGCTCGAATCATTCGTCAACATTCGGATTTTTCATCCGCGCTTTAAGGTTTGTCAAACAACTTTGTTTTTTGCATATATGTTATTTTAGGAATCAACAACTCCGGCACTCGACAGCTCATTAGAACACCCAATAAATCTACAAGAAGAGAAATGTCCATATGATGACCATAAGCCAGAGGAACGAGAGCTTAAGTTTTATTCTTGGCATATGATGACCATGTACAGTCGTCCTCGCCGCCGCCGCTAATTAACTAGCTAATGTTTTTTTTTCCATGTAGAAGTGCAATTTATCTATCTAACAAATAAAAAAGAATGGTGCATCATGTTGATGAATACCTATGATATTTATTTCACACCCTCTCATAGGGAGAAACCATCACAGCAATTTTGTGCAATAGAGAAGTCTCGTTGGAGCCGTCTTTTGAACTGAGAGGAGAGGTCCATTCCTGGTACTTGTGTAGACTCCCCGTGAAATCCGTGAAGAGCCCATCGACTCCCATCTTGTGAATCCAGAACTCATATTCTTGATAAGGATCTTGATTGAAGTTGTAGTGGAGAAAACAGTTCTCATTCCTATAGGTATACGGGTGCACCTGAATTAAGCATCACCATGATCAGATATTGAGATTACCGGTCGCAATGATGAAGCAAAGCACTAATTGAATGAACATCATCGCAAGCAATATCTAAGTCGAGTGAATATGAAAGGACAATACGTATTGACCAGAGAATATTTTTGGAATGTTTGATATCTGATGAGAGTCGGAAATAGAAAAACATTCGGTACATCCAGTAAATCGGGAAAATTGAAATACGATATGCATTACTCAACTGGTTGTTTCCCAAAACTTCTTTAGTACATCCAAAAAAACAAAATCACTCAGAAAGGCAGACCAAGGAATGCTTCTATCGCAATTCGGCATTCAACTATTAAACACGGTAAATTATTACCTGTAAATTGTGCGCATGTGCTCGGGCAACAAGATCAGTCGGCGTTTGCAGATAATTGTTCACAACAGGAACCACAGTATCTTTCCAGGGTCCAATGCCCACTACATAGCTCTTAATAAAATCAAAGTATCCATCCGAAGTAATTTCCCAGTATGACTGCAGATTGTCAAAGGGCCATTCAGACAATTAGCAAACACAAGTAGAAGTGAAATATTGCTACCATCTCACCCAAAAAAAAAAAAAAGAAGCTTCAATAACTAATTATTTGAGCAAAGGCCCCATCAAGAAACTTGATGGTCCACCAGATGAATTATGCATGCAGAGGTCCTTCACTTACATTAAGATGTGTTTGATTCAATTTGATCCAAACCAAAATGATTTCAATCAGAAAAAAGTTATTTTAATTTGAAAAACGATAAAAATTGTTACGGCGACTTTAAATACAGCCGTACTTTTTATGACTTTAGAAGCCATGGCAAACACCCTTCCAAGATTGAAAGCCAAGAAGGTAGCAACCTTACCTGGTTAGTGTCCTGGGTCGGAACGGTAATGTCATCAATCAAGAAGATTTTGGGCAAGTCTGTCAGATTTGATACATATACAAGGGAAGTAGGAGCAAAAGACTGGATAAACGCAGGTTGCTTCTTCCATTCATTCGACATATATGAACCCTTGTATCCATACTTCTTAAGCGTCTTTACAAACACATCCTCAAATTTCTTCCCATTTGGCCACTTCACCTGTCGCATCAGAGGAAGAGAAACTGTGTCATCTACAACAGCTGAATGATCTCACTAGGTTACTGATGTTAGATAATGGATTATACCCACCTCAAACATAGAAAAGTTTTTAAAGGTACTGAAATTGTTTTCAGTTATTTGCATGCAATTTCGCAAGTGCATGTTAAAAAGTACTAAGAAAGTGCAATATGTAGGCAATAGCTCAATGTTAAGAGGTACTGCGTCCGCGGTTCCCTTCAACATCAAATTCTCATTCTTTTTTGAACCAAGGAAAAGGAAAAGCGAACATCTCATTGATCATCAGCCAAATTTCTATTTTCTACCTCTCAATATTAATGAGGCCAAATCAAAAGTGGTAAAAGGGGAATCAATTGCATCATTCCATAATGGGAGATAGAGACTACGATGTCCTATCATTCAAGTGACTGCTTACAAGAGAAGCCACTCACATGTTCATTGATGAATACAGGGTTCTTAATCTCGGGGTATATACCAACAACTCTGGTTGCATCCAGTGCAATTGAAATGTACTCTTCAAAGGTAATAATATGAAATTTCCCTGAAGAATAGAGCACAAGGAAGGTAGAGTCATTCATTCCACCAGTTCAGAAGGATATGGAAGTAGTCTTACCACTGCTAACAGAACATAAGAATTAGAGAGTTTAACAGATGTAGATAGCATGTTTGCTGTAAAAGGTTTTAAAAAATTCCCGTGTCTAAAACTCAGATCTGATACATGCAATAATTTAAAATTTGAAAAACAAGGTGTAGAAAATCTGCAGTTAGGACAACGTGATTATCATCTTTTTCTAAGCACACTAAAGTGATGTCCATCAAAGGGGATTCAGTTGCAAGTATTGGTAGAGGGAAGCAAACTCGGGCCACGAGTACATTCAGCAGCCATCGAAGGATGGCCTTAAAGACTAAACTGTTCATTCAGAAAGCTAAAGAAAATAACATAGCTTGGTCATCAGATATACAACATGAGATCTAATCAAAATAACGAGTAACCAACCGTTATATTGTTGATCCCGGAATGGGTACCTCTGTCTCACCCTCAATGACTTTAGTTCTTTCAACGTGAAATCAACTGCATGTCAAGACAGAATAATTTAAGCAGAACATAGCAAAAGGCATGAAAAAGGGCGAAAATTCCCGTAAAAACACAATCGAGGAGAATTCATTACCAGTAAAGAAGCCAGTAGTGTTAGTGCCTTGGACATCATAGGTTCTTTTACGGTCAGCAAATTCCTTATGTTGAGCAACATCAGTTGTATCATCAAGAGTTACATCATGGAAGCATATAAGAACACCATCTTTTGAGGATAAAATATCCGTTTCAATGAAGTCTGTCCCCTCTTCAATTGCTCTCTGCAATCGTCAAGTGACCCAAAGTTAACAGGAATAGTTTTCACCTGATTGCATAATCTAAACTTATATCAGCAATGTGAAACTCGGGTAGATCAACAGGCTAATGTAGAACTCTGTGGAAACCGAATATATGTGAACTCATCCTATGGACCAAGCCCTAGACAAAGGTATGCTTTCACTTTAGACAGCTTTAAAATGTTTATCAGCATAGATCTAGAAGAATACTAGTCAGATCCAGAGTCAAACTTTTAATGTGTATCATTTGAGACCATAGCCTCATCCTTTTCTCTGCCAAATATTCAGCACATTTCATATACAAAAGGTTAAACTCTGCATCATCACCATATAAGCAGCAGCAGTTTCTTCAGGAAGCTCTCCATTTGAACCTCGATGGGCTATATTGTAAGGACGAGAGGTCTGTAGCGGCTGTCTTTCTCCATCTGCCACTTTGCTGGGGAGAGGGTAGAAAGGCCTTGCAGCACTCCCCACAATGAGACATACAAGGGCAAAGAGAATGAGGCCTGCAAATGTTTCCCAGCATCACTGACAGCAAAAAGAGATACGACCCAGAGACAAAATCAACATGACAGATGACAAATGCTCACGTGTGTTGCATTTATTTCTTGATCAAAGGCATGCAATACTCGAGCATATTATCATATAACTAAAATGGTTGATCCGAGTGTTATTTGACTATGGCCGAGTTCCCAATATCAGAGGTTGTAAAATAGGACAGAGAAACCTTAATGAAAAGCAGCAACTGCAGCCAGAAAAATTACTCGAGTCACTAGGGTTGAATTCACAAGAACAAGATTGCCAATTTGTATGAGCATATAATGCGGATTTAAATTCATTCCACTAGCTTTTCAAGTTGTTGTTGCACTCTTCTCCTCTTCTCTGGAAAACCACGGTGGCCTTGACATTACACTAGCACATTCCTCCAATCAGTGCCCCCCGAGTTCTCGAATCATTCGATTCAAGCGTTAACAAATCCAGATAGTTACTGGTGCCCGATTTCTGAAATCATCACAATCATAATTTTCCCCCTCATATGGGCTTCCATGATTCCAACATAGTTCGCCCAAGTCAATACGAAAAGCGCGCACACAAAAAAAAAAAAAAAAGGACAGACACGGGATCGTCATCGCCCGGCAGAGAGAAATTAGCATCCCAAGCGAAATGAAACAGAACCCATCCGTCACATGAATAAACAACAGAAATGATGCCAGTGCTCGTGATTCGCTCAAGACTAAACAAGAACAGAGAGCAACGAAAATAGCGAAAACAAGAGAAACAGCAAGAATCAATCAAGCTTCAAGATTTCAACTTACAGGCAGAACCCATGATTCTTGTCTCGACCTTGCTCTCTCCCTCTCTCCCAAAACTCTCTCTTTCCCCCTCTCTCCACCTCTCCCTGGACTGGTTTCGTTTTTTTGGACTCCTTTCTTGATTGTTATAATTGGCTTTACATTGTCTACAGTCCAAATTTACGGTTGCTTCTGGGTCTGGTCGTCTGATAATAGGAAATATAGGATTGGGTCTGAATTATTTGCGCCGCGGCTGTAGGTGCGAACTCCCGAAGCATATTCTCTCGACAGGGCCTCGCCAAATCATCCATTCTTTTTCACGGGACAGCTCGGTGTCTGTGTTTCTCGAGGATTGACCGCCTAATCTTGGAACAGTGGCTACTCGAGGTCAACGGACCGATAATGTCTTGCCACGTGTGGACTAAGGGTGATCGGTTAGGACCGATTGGTCCTAGGACAAGGAACCGGACCGCACCACCGGTCGGGTCCAATGAAACCCATCACTTTTTTTTTATTTTTTTTCCACCACAACGAGAGAGTGGTAAATCTCAACATATTGACGGAAACGATAATGAGTGAAGATTTATTGTGGTGCGAAGATAAGGGGAAAGCGTTGTACGTTGGTTTAGTTCACATTTTATTAATTTTGTTGAAGAAATAAAAAATAAGAAAAGTATATGTAGTCGGTCGGGTTCCTTCTTGGAACCGGGAACTGGACCGCTCGGACACCGGTTCTACTTTTAGGAACCGGAAATTGGATCGATACTTTCGGGAACTGGACCAAATCATCTGGTCTAATCCGATTTGGATGGTCTGTTTTGCACATTCCTAATATGGAGCATGGGCAGTTCTTGTCTTGCATGCACGCAGCATCAAAAGTCTCCTTCGGGTCCACGTTTTTCTTTGGATTTTTGCAAATTTTACGCACGTCAAAATTTTCCTTACATCAATCTTGAACTATCATGCACTCGATTCCCTGAATGGGGGGAGGGAGAATTTTGGGGGTGATTAGACAATGTATTGCCGAGGAGAGTTCGGTCGCTTTCATTTGCAGATTAGTCAATTCAACGTTGTATCTAGTCAGTGTTGGGCATGGTCCGGAGCCTTAAACGATTGCAAATGGACCGCTTATAAATGCAAGAGTTTACTTCTGCAATTTGTTCGTGGTGACCTTTTTTGGCCGAAGGGTTCACCATATAGAGTGACAACAACTTCGTAATCGCATGGATCACACGTTTACTAGAAGCAAAATGACCAAGGCCCGTTGGTCAGATTGTATTATATCACGTGTTTTTTGACATTGATCCACGCAAAAGAGATGTAATATGCCAAGAAGATTGACAAATTCCCCACATGCTGTCTGACATCAATGAAACCCACAAATATAACACGGTTGAGAGTCCTACTAAAGACTCTTTTCACAGCATACACCACTGTTTTTAAGACTCCTTTCACAGCATAAACCACATACTGCTGTTTGGTCGCTTTTGCTTGAAGTTATAAAGCCCCCGTTTTCCACTTGAGTAATTGATAGAGATAACATCACGCACACAATATTCGAGCATGCCTTACGTTGACGAGTACAGTAGATGGTTTAATAAAACCAGTCTAAGTATTCAGTACAATATTCAGCTTGGCTTCAACCCCACGCTCAAGTAATGGACGACAATGCTGTCCCTACTCTTAGTCAATTGGTTTGGTTGCAATTTGGAAAGAAAGGCGAAAACGAAAGCATTGGGCAAGAGTATTTATTCCATTCACCGTCGCGGAAACACGCATTTTCTCTTGCTGACGTGTGATGAAGGAATTAATGTCGACATATTTTGAAACGGCGTACTAGTATGAACAACTTCGTGGCAGCTTGGATCACTTGAGTACTAGACACAAAATGACCATAGCCTGTCAATAAGATTTTATTAATCATTTGTCTTTAGACATTAATTTAAGGAAAAAAGATATGATATACCAAAAACATTGACAAATCCACCACATTATGTTGTTTCACATTAATGAAAACCATACCAATATGACATAGTTGAGAGTTCTACTTAAGACTCTTTTCACAGCATAAACCAAAGCAACACACAAGCTAGGGTTTTAAGAACACCCAACAAGGAATTTATTACATACACTTGAAATAGCATAAGATAACGACACGCTGATATTAAAATTTAAAGAGTCTTTCTATATATATGGATATAGATTATTAACCCTATCACAGGGGCGGCGGTGGCGACGAACTGACAGCGATGTGCTTCATGGGATTGGACCAATCAGTGTGGTTGGCGTGCTTGACAAAGTCAGTCGGGCTAAGGAAGACGCCGTGGCAGAAACACACGATGAAGATGCGGCCACCCTTGTCGTACTTATAGAGGAACCCGTCCACCTTCTTGCCCTCTTGCCCATCTCCAATTGTGGTCACGGTTAGCATTTGCTTCATCCCTCTCATTTCATTAACGATGCTTTTTTTTTTATGAGCATTGTTGTTTTGAACAATATTGGGAAGCCTAGGTCTCTTGATTTGCTCTTCGTGAGAGATGTTCTCAATCACAATGGCCGACTTCCCATAGATCGCCTTTGCAGCGCAGGCTTTAGCGTCTGGGTTTGGTTGGTGAGATGTCCATGGCTCCTCGGAGCTAGAAGAGCCTATGTTTGTGGCGAGTGCGCTTACTCCTAGGCAAAGTGTTGTAAAAAACAAAAGAAATTATTAGTTTTTCTAAGATAGCTATTGTATATTTAATCGATTGCGGTTGATATAGGTGAAGGAGGGATAAAAATGCATGAGTTTTAGTAACAAACAAGAAAAATAAGACAACTATTGATTACAACTTCAACTACATTGATCCACGAGAAGAGATTAAACACCTCAAGTTTAGAGATTAAACACTTGAAGTTTATGAGCAGTTAAATCAATTTGGCTTTGATTATGTTGATATACTAATAATTAAGAATTGTTAGCATATCCAATCCAATTGCTTCAAGTTTGTCGGTCTGTCCTTTATTTCATTTGTTGACATGTGAATTAGGTAAGAATGAGTTTAATCTTAGACGTAAATGGATGAGTGTCAAATGCTGCAACACGCTCACGTCACATGCTATGTGACATTGATGGTTGCGCTATATTTGTTCTCACATTGTTGGACCTCTACGATTTATTGTAACTTTACCTAGCACATAGAATTATCCAGAGGGGACTTAAGACCGCGTGATTAACCTAACGTTCAAATCTTGCAACCTTGAACAACGAAGGATCCATTAATCATTAGGGAAAATCACAAGTACTCACAGGCTCATCTTAATATCCAGACTTCAAAACTAAACACACTGGAATACATTGAAGCAAACTAGGATATAAATCAGTTGGCATATGCATGCAAGTGAAAAATTAACTTCGATAATGAGCAGCATCTCCTTTGGAAATATATCAGGATATATGCAATTACTTCATGCAAGCAAAATCTTTCAAACACCTTCCATTTTTCACTGAAATAGTCAATAAGTGGAAAAGAATAATGTTTACCTTCAAGTATTTTCTTCCCAGACGACTCTCCTAGGGCATTCATCTTCTCCACAGCCCCACGAAGCTTGTGGTTCTCCACGTCCGAAGCCACTGCTCCTGACAGCGCGATCAGCTTCGGCTGGTGACCTTGAGGTGGCTGTGCTGCCACCGCTGCTGCTGCTAGAGGAGGAGCCGGTGAGGATGCAGCCGCCACCGCCTTCTTCTTCGCCTCGGTACGTTCACGGGCCCTCCTCCTCAGGATGGACCTCCTATAGGCCTCGAACCGCCTCTTCTTTTGCACCTCCAGATGCGTCCCAATTTCGTTCAACGCAATTTCGTCCCAATTGTCTGTTGTTATTGTCTGCGGAATGCCATTGTTGTTTTGAGCACTCGTTATTGGTGGGTTCACATTATCGACGGTGGTTGCCCTTGTTGCAGTCAACGAGAGTGGGTTAGGGTTAGGGCTTTCCTTGATCTCTTTGTAGTAGAGACCGCCAAGAGAGAGTCCAAGGCTCAGGTCGAGCGGCTCTTCGGCCGGAGGGGCGATTTTGAAAAATTGGATTTCCTTGGGGGGTTCTTGTGAAATCCCCTGCATGGGATTTTGTGGGCCCCCATCGCTCAGCACTGAGGTGGTGCTGTTGACTTGATCGTCATAAGAACAATTCCCATGTTGATCTTTCCCGTCCATGACTTTGCACTGTAAAAGAACAGGCTGAAATCGTCAGATCTTGAATTTTGCAGAGAAAGATTCTTCATTGTCAAACAAGATTCTATAGGTTCAGATCTGGAAATCCTTTTGAGCTTTAGAATTATCAAGAACCACGATGCCGGACAGAAACAAAAACCAAGTAAACAAGCGCAAGATCTTACGAACCAAAAGGTGAGAAGAAGATGGACTGTCAACGGCTACGACTGCCGGAGAAGCGGGCTCGAAATGGACTTATCCGTCGAGATCTCGCTGGAGAAACCTGAAACCAGCGTTTGAAGAGAGAATGCGAGGCGACCACAGAGCGATTCTCGTACAAAGGCAAGTACAGCAAGTGCTGAAAAATTGGCAAATGATAGCATTTAAGGATGCTGTAGTGAGTGTGTTTCCTTTTGGGGCGACAACACAGACCTTCCTGGACTACACGTGGTGGGCAGTGGAGTTCGGAGTTGCATCAGTGGATAAGTTTTTGGCTCTGTTTCTTCATTATCTATGAGCGATTTAGATTATATATTGTGAGGTTATGGCGTTTGCCTGGTTAGGCAAGCTGCATTCAATTTTTTTCCTTGAATTTCGACCAACTTTCCCTTTCGAATCGTCGAAAACCCTCAGAGCCCCGCCGCATCTCAGGTGTCGGTGGCGCGTTGAGTCGCCGAGTCCGTAGAGACGCGTGCGCTGCACCGCATTTTGCCAAAAGAAGAGAGAAAGATGATCGACGGATTACCGTACGGACAACGTCACGAAAATGAAGACCCAATATGAAAAAATGGGGTTCTCGGGGCAACGTCGGAAGCTGCGGACGGATATTCAAAATAAGCAGCTCACATTCAACACTCGATATTATTATAGACCGCAATCTGATACACATGGCATTATCATCCTCACCATAATGACGCTACTACATTGATTTTCTTAGTCATCTTTTCCTTAACCTGGCTTACCAAATAAAACGAGAGAGAAGATGGTAAGATGACCAGGAGTTTTTAGAGCGCTGCTACTGTCGAGACGGTGAAGTTGGGGGTCCAGATGCAAGACGAGAGAAACATGAGGGA